CCCCCCCTCGCCCCCCCCCCGAGTGTCTCCAGGCTTAGCTGGCCAGACACCTTTTATTCTCGAATCCCTGCTGGGATAGTACCTCACCCCCGTGGTCCTGAATATGGACCTGGGGCAGGGCAAAGGGTCTGGGCCCCTGGGAACCCGACAGGGGTTGGGGAAGTAGCTGGCCTGGGCTCTGAATCCTCATTTTCATCTTAGCAGTAGCTGAGCAGATCATGTCACTTTGGTGAGGGCCATGGCTGTTGAGAGGATTAACTGAGTGAGGGAGTGCCAAGGGCTTAAACCTGTGCCAGGCTGGATGAGTGATGGTTTCTACAATCAGTCAAAGGCACAATAGGGTGGAGTGCTTTTGACTGGGGAATGGCACTGGAGTGGAGACTTGATGGCGCTGAGAGGGGCAGGGACCCACTGAGACCCGTCCCTGCCACATCCAAAGCAGCTGTGCGTTCGGTCCAACCTGGGTGGTTCTAATGTGGACTTACAGAGAGGAAGATGAAGGTAGGCTGCTAGGTGTGTTTGAAAGCTATCGGTCAAGTCCAACCCTTAAAGAGTTGACAAAGTAACTTTGAAAAAGCAACCAAGGTCCAGAGAAACCAAGGGCATCAGGAGTTGCCATGTCACTTGGACATTGGCAAGGCCACCCAGAGAAGAGCAGGAGCTCAGCTCCAAAGCTGAGCTGGACTTGGAAGGGATAACAGCTGGAGCTGCCCACCAGCCACCCTCCTGGAGTCCTTTCCTGACGGGGGTTCTCAGAGGCAGCTTCCTGGGTCTCCTGCCTTGATCCACACCATCTGTGGGGTTGATCAAGCAGGTGACTCTTAGGAAAATGTCAATTCCAGCCCAGAGATTTGGTTTCTCAATTGAAATACATCCTGATCACGTCGGTGTGAGGTATGGCTCAGGCTCTGCAGGCAGCTTCTTAGCTTGTTGGAGAGCCACGAGTTGAAGGTACTTCGTGTTCAGAGGCAATGGTGTTCCCAGTTCTCTGGTCGTTCCTTACTAAAAAGAAATGGATCCGGACTTCAAAGGGAAGTACACCTCCTCCCTGGAACAAGCCACTGTGGGAAGGAGAAACAATGGGTGACATCCTTAGGCCAGCCTTCTTTTTTCTGGGAAGGCAGTGGAGATCTACAGGGCCTGGCAGGAAAACAGAGCTCCAGATCTCCCCGCCCCCATGGCCCCCGGCTGTGAGTCCCAGGCCTAGGGCCCAAGAGGAAGCTGGGAAGGGGGCCCAGGAGGACTTCCTAGGGAGGGGTCTGGAAGGGATGCGGGGGGAGGAGACCCACCCATCTCCTGAGTATTGCTGATATGTATCTTCTGCTGCCAGC